TAGCACTCACAGTAACAGTCACCGTAGCAGTAGCACTCACAGTAACAGTCACCGTAGCAGTAGCACTCACAGTAACAGTCACCGTAGCAGTAGCACTCACAGTAACAGTCACCGTAGCAGTAGCACTCACAGTAACAGTCACTGTGGCAGTGCAGTCATAGTAACAGTCACTGTAAGAATAGCAGTCACAGCGGAAACTGTAGCAATATGGTCACTGTAGCAAAAGTACTCATAGTAGCAGTCACTGTAGCAGTGTAGTTCCAATAACAGTCACTAGCAGTAGAATCATTGTAGCAATAGTAGTCACAGTAACAGTTACTGTAGCAGTATAATCACTGTAGAAGTAGTAGTCACAGCAACAGTCACTGTAGTAGAAATAGTCACTGTAGCAGTAGTAGTCATAGTAACACTCACTGTAGCAGTAGAATCACTGTAGCAGTAGTCGTCACAGCAACAGTCACTGTAGCAGTTGTACTCAGTCACTGTAACAGCTGAATCACTATAGCAGTGGAATTCACAGTGGAAACAGTCAAAGTTGCAGCTGCACAACCAGTTGCAACCATGGAAAGATTACTGTGTGAACCAGGTTATATAACCAGGTTTTCCTGTGTAAGTGTTAGTAAATCAAATATCTACATGATGCTCTTTTGCCTCACACACACAGCAGGCACAAGAAGGCATACGTAACTAGATCCAAAAATACTCTGGGGCAGCTAACTGTAGGGCTTTGTTTTTCCCTGTTTCTCTCTGGAGACCAAGACGCCTCTGCCAGGAGCCACAAGAGGACCCCCACAGGCCCAGGAAATGTCCATTTATCCTGCGCCCCAGGTTTCCAGGAGGGTCTCTGCTGTATTCATTATCGTGCCGCTCTCACGTTTTCCATTGTTGGGGGTGGAGAGGAAGAGACGACAGGGGACACCGATTCTGCCATGTAGCAGAGATTATTTTTCTCGGCGGTGGGCTGGAGGGGAACCGGCAGTCAGAGTGGAAAACAAGCAGCTCTGTGTTTGAGACGGGTGGGAGGTGTGAGGCCATACAAGCACCATGCTGAGTCCTGACTGGTGTGGCCCCCACGTTAAGCGCCAAGCACCACCAGGGGCGAGGGTTACATCAGGTAGAAGAAGTGTAGCAAAAGGATGATGTTTTGGCCTGACTTCCACGCGACCGTCAGACCAGGGAGGCGTGGGCTTTGGCTGTGGAGGTGGCTTAATGTCCTTTAATAACCAGTAATGACTAAGCACAAACGAGAGTTCCTGGATTAAAGGGGCAGAGAGTGTGGGTCTGGCTGAGTAGGTTTCTTATACCTCTATAAAGACTCATTACCCTTCTTTTAGATGGATTGGGTATGAATCGCCTCATAAAATAAATGTGCGAGTGAGTGAGGCGAAAACCATTCCAAAAAGCAGATCTTGTATCTCTCATCGTGTTACGTGGATCTGAAACAGAACATGCATGTTAAGTGAGTTTCCCTCTTGCAGCCAGGAATCAGTGGCAGTCTGATGGTTCCAGCACAACTTACTGAGGAGCCCCAGTTACTCACAGGTTTAGGGTTTAAGGAGAGAAACCCCCGAAACACCATGACAATTCAGCTCAACATGCACGAGCGGAAGATGCTTTATACAGCTATCGGATCAGTCGGTGTGACTGACACTTTCCACGCGATGTGACTGACACTTTCCACGCGATGTGACTGACACTTTCCACGCGATGTGACTGACACTTTCCTCGCAAGATCATTTATAAGCATCTAACTTCCACTCACTTGTTTAAGAGCCGGCATCTAAATCAACTGACACTGAGGTAATAGGAACTGGACCTTTACACTCAACGGTCACTTTATTAGGTGACATTGCAAATGGACTATACGAGCTGTATCATGGTGGGTGCAGCCTTCAGTGCCACCTGGCGCAGCCCAACGCGGAGAAAAGACCTTGGCCACCACTCAGAGGCCAACATGGATAACGGACTCATTGATGCACTTTGCCTTCATTCTTAATGCCAGCATATACCTACCTTTCAGCAAGCATGTCCACTCTTCTCTGTTTCAGTGATGTTAGTCTGCCCGGGGGGGGGGGGGCAGCCAGTTGACCTTGGACCCCAGAGGTTTTTTTTCTCCCTACTTGGGAGTCTTTGGTTCCTCTCCTCCGTTGTCTTCTGGCTTTTCTTTATTCAATATCTTTCCTTCCTTTTCCCCCCATTCTGTATCTCCCTCTAATTATGTATTATGTATCACAACACGACCCTGTAAAGCGCTTTGGGACAACTCTGTTGTGAAAGGCGCTATATAAAAATTAATTAAATTGAATTGAATTTGTTAGGTACACAAACGCTACATTCACACTACCAAGCCAAAGTGATGCCATTTAGAGGGACAGATGCGATCAGTTAGATACAGATGCATGTGAACTGTCAAGACAGGCAAATCTGATCTGGGCAAAAAACTGGAATTGGACAATGAGGCTTGTAATGCGAACGCTTCCATAGCTGGTATCGGGCAGGAGGTCACCTATGTCCCCAGACCTGCTTCAAGGACAGATAAATTGTGTGTTCAGGGAAGCCTTTCTGCAGACCACTGCTCTGTGAAGCTGTCAGGTCTGCACCCGTCACCTCCCTGTTAGCTTTAATGAGTCTGCCCGTTCTCCTCTGACCTCGCTCATTAACAAGGTGTTCGCAGCCACAGACCTGCCACTGAATGGCGATTTTATGTTCGTCGCACCATTCTGAGCTCTAGACACCGTCGTGTGTGAAAATCCCAGGAGGGTTGGCTGTTTCTGAGACGCTGGAACAGCTACGTTTGGCAAAGGTGATCACACCATGTTCAGATGCGCTGAGATGGCCGTCGCATCTGTTTGGTTTGGCTGTTTAGTTTTTGACCCTGTATGCGTTCGGCTGGAGCCATATGATTGGCTGTTTAGTTTTTGACCCTGTCTGCGTGCTGTATGCGTTCGGCTCGAGCCATATGATTGGCTGTTTAGCTTTTGACCCTGTCTGCGTGCTGCATGTGTTCGGCTGGATCCACGTGATTGGCTGTTTGGAGAAGCAGGCAGGTATGTAATAATGCCCACTGAGTACACGCCTGTACTTGTTTATATGACATTTTATATTCCATATACTGCATAAACATTCAATGCTCGTCTACCTGTTTATTCCATGTCCCCCCAAAGAGTCGTAAAAACAAACTATAGTTTTTCATCCAAAAAATAATATAAAATTTTATGTTTTTTTCTAAACTAGACTAGACTAGATTAGAATAGTATAGAGATACTTGATTGAGCCCTGTGGGGAAATTCTCTTTCCGCTTTACCCCGTTTTACCCAAATCTTGCTCTCCATGATATGCAGGTGGGAGTAAGCCTGGGTCACAGTCAAGGTTAGCCGCCCCCCCCTCGGCCCCTGGGGAGCTGGGGGTCAAGTGCCCAGGCAGGGGCCCACAAAAAGACATGTGATTGTTTATCTCCGAATTAATCTCAGAGTGGAATTTAGGTTATACAACCCAAATAAAGATACAAGACTTAGGTGACGAAGAGAATGGGGTCTGAATTCTGCCGGACAAACCACACATGACACAGGTCTAAGAAGTATATAACCAATTGTATTTTTCCTTTGATAATGTACACATATTTAGATTAATCTCACTGTAACACTTTACAATAACATTTAGTAAGAACAGGGGTATGCGGAGAGCAGCCTATGTTTACACAGTCTGTCAAAATATATAAAAATAAATTAAATCAATTAAAAATGTACGGAACGTCATTTAATAATGTGAATGACTGCTGCTACCCTCTGGATGTGGAGCTGTGCTCGTTCGTTCATGTACAAACGAAATGGTAAAAACATACTGAACTGAAACGAAACCGTCCCTGCCTTCTTGGGTGAGTCATTTTACGTACAATCAGTAATGTCCCTATGAAAATGTAATGTACATTAATGTGGCACAAAAATGACTGAGATGGTATTTTAAGGTGTTTAACTCTTTCAATGTTTTTTTTTTTTTTCCCTCACGCTGTCATGGAGAAACCCCGTTTTAAATAACCTTTCAACCCAAACCACATTTTGTTTAATTAAGAAAAAAAAAATATACAAATCGAAATTTTCCAGATTTTCTTTTTTCGTTTTCTTAAACAAGAATAACAGGGAAAACACATTATTTTCAGTAATGGTAAGGTTCAAATATCTAGACATCTCACAAACGTTTTCAATATTTTTTCTTTTCATGGAACAGTTTTTTTTTTGTGGAATCAAGAAAATTAGAATACTAGACGTTTGTTTGATCTCAAAGGAAATGTAATTATTCCTTCGGCAAAAGTTTTCAGCTCCTTCTTGTGGTTCTTCGTCTCGACTCTGCGGAAAGAAGAGGTTGCGAGCTTTCCATACGCATGGATGGCTTCCCAGCAGAGACACAGATCTCCACAAGTCATTTTCACTTTGCAGATTCCTCACTTTTCCGTCCCGTGCACTGGGCTCAGTCAAACAGGCATTTACAAAGACGACTGCCGGGTCCTTTTTCGCGTGTGTGGAGAGTCTTTCGAGTCTTTTCCTCACGTTTAATTTCCCAGAATGCTCAGAGCCTGCCATTTTTTAACTTCAATTTCCAATAAGCTTTCAATGAAGTTCACTGTTTTCTTGATACATATGCGAATATAGCAAAGTTCGTTTCTTTTTTTTTTTGTCTTTTTGTTTTTGCAGCAGTAGAATTTCTCTCGTTCTGTGACTTTGAAGAACTGGATTTCAGGATCTGTTCCCTCCAGGACTCTGTGGCAGCTTCATAGTATTGGAGCCCCAGCAAATCTTAGACAAATTGGCCCAGAAGAATAATCCGGGGTTTTTTGGCCTCAGGGTTTGGCGGAGGATTGAAGTTTCTCAATTTTGTCGTCACCACGTTTAGTTATTTAACACGTTTTTTTTTTTTTTCATTTAGCACTGAAACAGCCTTTTGCTTTTAGTTAGTGAATACGACATGCTCAAAAGACAGCTGAATAATGTTGCATTAGCACCTTAGCACCGTGGATGAAGAGAGGCGGAGGGAGGGGGGACCGTGAGAGACGAGGAGGAAGGCAATCCAAGGTTGGACAGGGGTGGGGGGAGGGCTCTGGAATGTCGGAACGCATCCTGCACAAGGTGTCCTCGATGCCGTCGGTTTTCGGATCTGCCTGGGTCTGCCTCAGAGCGTTCGGGTAACCTGGGAGATCCTGCCGTGCCTGGGTTTGCCTGGGCGAAGCCTGTCTCGAGACGGAGCCTTCCGGAAAACTCGCGACCCCGAGTTTCGTTCCACAAGCGTCTGTCTCCCGCGGCTCGCAAAGCGGTAACAAGGTTCTCTTCCAGTCCTGGCTCGTCCCAGGTTCGATTCCCTACTCGCTAGCCTGGGCGATACTTTGGAAATGCCAACCGGCACGATATTTACAGAACACGAGGACGAATCCTGGGTCTCGTGTGCGTTACAAGAGTGAACGAGCTGAGTTACTGTGCCGGAGAAAGGAAAAGACAAACCGTAATGTGAAAATAAAAGAGTAAAATCACACTTAGAAAGCTAAGAAAGAAACAGCATCGGTTGATGAGAGCGAGTTGGGTTTTTTGTCCGTCCGAAGGAAAGAATAGACTTCACCCTTCCGTGTCGACTCTTCTCTCTCTTCCCTGCAGTGTTGACCTCAGGGAGAAGAGGAAGGATGAGAGGAGCTTTTCGCCAAAGCATGGGGTTTGGACTGATGGTTGTGTGGAAATGCTGAAGGAGGGTGAGGTGGGATTGGATGCTGTCTGAAGGTGGGTCCACGCTCTTCCATGTTCCTCTCCTCTCTCTCCTCCTCCCTCTCTCCGTCTCTCTCTCCCTGGGGCCGCTCTCACACGTAGTACTCCTTGTCCTTGTTCTTCTTGTTCTTGGTGACGGTCTTGGCGGCCCCAGGCTGCTTCTCCTTGACCACGGCGCCGTTGCTCTGCGTGGCCGAGTTGCTGATGTAGTTGCGGCTCTGATCCACCTGGTAGGAGCCCTCGTCGCGGTTGCGGTATTTGTACATGGCGTAGAGCAGGATGAGGATGCAGAGCGCCGCGGCGGCCACGATGCCCACCACCATACCTGTGGTGCTGCTGGACTCTCGGATCACCTCCACCGCGCCGGGGGGGCCCCTCTCTCCTGAGGCGGTGGGGTTGGCTGTGGGCACATGGCGGAAATTGGGGGGGTGAGTTATTCCCGGGGGGTGCCGATGTCGCCCGCCATGGTCGGGGTTGTAGGAAGGGGGGGCAGGGGGCAGGAGGACCTGGTCGCGGGTGTTCATTTTGCCAGCGGGGATGTGACCCCCGCTGACAGCCGGCTTGTGGCGGGGCAGGTGGTCGGGGTTGGCGGTGGGGCTGTGGCGGTCGCGGGGGTGCTGGACCCCGCCCTCTGCCGCCGGTGGGGGCGGAAGGACCGTCCTGTCGGTGACGAGGGGGGAGTTCTTATAATAGTCCTCGTCATCAGACTCGGTCATCTCCCCCGAGCCATAGGCTGACACCTCAATGGGGTCCTCGCAGTCCTCCTGGTCCAGGGGGCAGGGGGGGCGGGCGTTGGCCAGTGTCAGGGACTCTTTGGTGGTGTCGATCAGGGTGACAAAGGGGCGGTAGGTGGGGGGCGGGGGGATGACTGGGTAACGGGTGGCGATAGACGGGGGGTCTAGGGAATCCACCGTAATTATTGGCAAGACTAATTCCCCTCCTAGGACAAGAAAGAGAGAAGGTGGGAGAAAAGGTGTCAGTGGGCGCTAGGACCTTGGCGGGGGCCAACAGAGAATCAGCCACAGTCAAAACAACAACAACAGCACAAGAATAAACCTCCAGTAGAACAACACTAAGACTAAGAGGTTAGTTATACAGTTAGAGTCTATTTAGATGTTAGTCTTCTATTTAAAAAGGTGTTCTGGCTACTCTAAATTCATACATATACATAAATATTAAAAAATATATACAGTACAGGAAATAAAAAGTAACAGAGATCCAGAGTAATGGCTACTCTTAATGTATTTCCTGAATTCCCCTGACTGAGTAAGTACGTTACTAAACTAGGTCAGTGCTACAATATAATGTTACAATAAGACTAAACAACAGTTAAATGTCTCTCTGTTACATCTGTCTCTCTCATTCTACCTTACACATCTGATTTCCCTTTTAGACTTGCTTTGTGTCTTTGCCTTTGCTTAAATAAGATAGCAAACCACAGAGTTTAGGTCACTTACATCAACAAATTGGCCGCATGATTTTAGCATGAAAAAAAAATTACAAAAAAAGAAAGCTGTGTAAGATTGTCCTGGTAGAAGCACAACTTTACCCCCTTTAACGTTAATTATTCCTGCAAACGTGTGTTTTAGAAATATGTTTTAATATCTTGCCTTGTCCTTAGAGAGGTGCAAGATGGTTGGCTACTTGTAAAGCGGAGGCCAGGAGAAGAAGGAGAGCAATCCCAGAATCCTCTGCCTATTACCAATCCCAGCCCCTCCCCACCCACCCATTACCCATAATGCATCTCCCACCCCCAAAAACCAAATGAAAACACACTAACTAGAATGATATTCCCATGTTTCAGACCTGGTTATACACTAAAAAGTTATTATCGGTAATAAAGCTGATTTAAATCATCTAGTGTTATCATTACTTTGAGCCTGGTTTTGAAGTTTCAAATGGCTTCATTAAGGCATGTTTATGAAAATCCTGACCCCCTCCCCACCCCGAAGGAAAAAGCAAAAACAAAGCATCTCAGAATATATGCATTTTGTTTAAAATGAACAGTGGAGGAATAGGAAAATGGTAAATTAGAAGGTACAGGTAAAGAATGACATTGAACAGCGTACATAACTAACAAAGCGGGTCTCATCTTTGGGCTGAATTACAAGGCCCCGATCTTTAAAGCATCAGCAATCGGCTGCTCGCAGCATTCCGGAAAGTTCCGCTCTTATATCAGTCAGATTAGGACGTGCTTCACTTTGGTAGCTTCTTATGAGGCCACGTTTAAGCAAATGTTTAATTATAGTGCAAGTTTTTTGGTTATAGCCCTTGTTTTTCAGGTGTGAGGAGCAGTGATTGGAGTTACAGGGAGGGGGAATTGGATGGACTGTTTTAAAGGTGGGGGGACGTTTGATATTTACAGGGTGAGGTGGCCCGGGCAGACAGGTTGGTGATTAAGGGACAGTGTGTGTGGGGGGGGTTGCACTAAAATGTCTGACGGTGGCTTCTGGTGGGGGGGGGGGCAGTGTGTTTATGACTCATAGAGCTTGGAACCTTCCCCTTTAACTGTTTACGCAGCACGGACATAGAGAAAAGGTTACACTTTCTCCCAAATGTACATCGAAATAAATAACAGTAAGACTGCAGTCACAAAGAAAATCACGTCAGAAACAGGAAAAAGCAGTTGAGAAGCACCCAGGTTTGTATAATGATGCTGTGGCGAAAGCCGCCCCGCACACAATTCACGGTGCTGTGTTTGTGTCTGAAGGAAGAGTACATCAACTACACTGTCCCTGAAAAAGGAAACCCGAACACTCAGTGAGAAGGTACAGAAAATGTTCACCTTCACGGTTTCAGTGGCCTCTACTCCTCCACTGCGCGTCTATGAGCCCAAGAGCGTGTTGTTATTCTCTAATGAGCAATTCATTTAAATGAATGGATGCCTCGCTAAGTGAATACATCACCACGTAAACATACAAATTACGGAACAAACAAATAGATGACTGACTGGCCGAGAAACCCAACGAAATTGAGAACGTCCGCCGACACATTAATCAAGTGATTAAGTAAACTCCGGCAGGTTCTGCCCGCGATTCTCCCCATTTATAGATGTGGGAAATAATTATCTCCTGACAGCCTGTCCACATATCCCATGGGCGAAATTGTCGGCCGCATTTGATGGATGCAAACAAGGGACGCAGCTGGGAACGAGAGCGACTGCTCCGCTATGGACTCAGTGGTTATAATTAAGGGATCTGAGTGAGGAGATCGTGTAAAATCTCAGCCTTACTCTGTACTCTACCCCCAGAAACAATACACAGACTTGGAAACAGTGCGGGTATCTGCTCTGGGTGAAGCTGGAGTGTTTCCAGAACATTCATGAAGTGTTTTAGAAGCTTTTTAGGTTGGCATATTTTCGGACCCTTTTTGTCACGCAGCTGTGATTGGTCGAATGGAATGTTTGCTGGCTTTGTGTAATTTAATTTAGCAGTTTTAGCAATTTTAGCGTAACGTATCACTGGGCGAAACATGATAAGAGCTGCCAAGAATTGCACAGGTGAGAATAAATCCTCTGCCTTCATTTCCTTCGTGATAAACGTGGCGATTTGATATTAAAGCAGGGTAAGGTCAGAGCACTTCCTGCTCACGGTGCACGGCGAGATGCTGGTGGCAAACCTCAAGCTTGTCCCTCTCAAGGGACAGTGTTAGGGACAGTGTTAGGGACAGTGGTGAAAGCAACCGTCAGCAAAAAAAAGAGGTTATTCTCAACAAAACCCAGCCTAATGATCACTGCTTTTCTTCAGAAAATTATGGATTTATACATAACAGAAGAGTTTGTCCTGAACTTCAGATGTAACACTGGTTTTCATCTTGACTGTAGAAAGTCTGGTACATTTACCTCCTTCGGGTACTCTGACAAACAATCATGCTATGCATACCCTGTGATGCCACCTTAAAGGCTTCTGGGACTGAAATATGGGAGAGGCACTTACTTATGACACCACACTACCAGAGAATCTCACAGAATCACCCGGAAATCAAAGTGTGCTCCTGCCACGGAATATTCTGGAAATCAAAGCTGTCCTGTGCTGACATCGCCTGCTGAGAGATAGCAAGCTTCATTTTCAGCTTGATTTAGTTCTGCAGGGCTGCCATTAAGTACAAAGGATATTCCCTCCATAAAACATGCATGTGTTACGGGGCACAGGGTCAAAGGTCAAAATACTGTCAGTTACACCATCCCTGGCGGCACAGGGCATGAGGCAGCGGATCAGCCAGGATGAGAAGCCAGTCCATCACAGAATTATAATAATACTGAAATTAATGATGTGGTTCATTTTACCTCTAGGTAAAAGAAAATACCGTATATAGGACACTTAAATTATTATGACAATTAAGTATAAAAATACAGCAGAAGTATAATATAATTCAGGGTCACACATGACCAGAGTCTGTTTCTGGAGATAAGATAAAGTACCAGGTCATCGCTGATACGGACGCACTCTGAGTACGGGTCTCTGGAGCCCACACAGGGAAGGAATCACACCCGCTACCAGGCTACACTGATGTCATCCAAGGCGAAACCCAAAAAACGCTTCTGTCCCATAAAGGCAAGAGATCAAAGTGAAATTACTTGGAAAAAATTGAATGAAATTTCCCAAATACATTTATCTGTGCTGATAGCTTTTTGGAAGCTTCTGCAACCCAGCCATGAAACCTCCCTCATTTCAAACAGCAAGTATGTCATTTTCACTGCAGTGAAGGTGATGGAAATGGGAAGCAGGGCGAGCGGCGAAGCTGTCGTTCATACAGTCCAGGGGAAGCAGTGGTGTACAGTGAAGATCTCTGATATACAGTCCAGGGGAAGCAGTGGTGTACAGTGAAGATCTCTGATATACAGTCCAGGGGAAGCAGTGGTGTACAGTGAAGATCTCTGATATACAGTCCTGGGGAAGCAGTGATGTACAGTGAAGATCTCTGATACAGAGCATTTTACCAGCCCATAGCAGGTCTCATTTAGGTCTTTTCCAGAAGACTCTGCTTCTCATAGAGTCTTGTAGAATCTCACTACAATGAGGTGGAATGGCAGTGGCCAGCAGCATTAAACTTTTGCATGTTATCGTTAAATGACACAATCTTTTGTGTTTCGTGGCTTGTCAGCAAATCTCTTCGCCTTTGAGCGGCAGACAGAGGAGAACACGCAGAATCAAACTGAGACAGAAGGAATAATGCATTGACTTTTTCGTAATTGCTTTTGCGGTGTTGGGTCACGACGACCCGACTTCAGGGAGGCGCGGGGCAGGAGGCGCCTGGGATGAGCCGCCTGGGATGAGCCGGCGGGGGATTTGCTTGCACGGTCTCACACTGTGAGCTCCCACGTGTTTAGGGACTACAGAAGGATACTGGACACGCACAAACAAAACAGTGGATGGGGGGGCACAGTGCTGCTCAGCAGGTTAGGATGTGCTTCCTGTGGTCAGTAGGTTGTTGGGTCAAATCCCAGGGTCAGCAGAGACACGAGGAGGCACTGTGGTTCTGAAAAAGGCGCGATCGAGTCATTTCACCGAAATGTTATTTTTAAATCGATTAAATGGACCTGGCAGGTTCCTGGCTGGCATTTGCATTGCATGAAATATTCTAGCGATACATCAGTCTGATGACAACAAGCTGACTGCGGCTGCCGTGTGATTTGTGCCTTTCCATGGCGTGCTGAGAGTTACAGCCGCAAGTTCGTATGCCGTAGCCCCACATCCGTGCTCCTCACAGAGTGGACATGGAGCCTTCCGGAACACGTTCCCAGAAGAGACGATGTTTTTCTTTAACTGTAATCGCAGACAGCAGCCATCCCCCGTGGGGATGTGTGGGGTTTGCATGGGGGTCCCACGGCAGCCCAAAGGCACATCATCGGCCAGTAAAGCCCTCAGTCCTGGCATGTATTTGTGCATGTCCTGGCGTTGAGATGTCGATAGGCGGTTGTGGAAGATGGATGGATGAGCT